AGTCTTTTTGATTTTTGTTTTCGGACCATTCTCTGCCCTAAAAATGAATAAAACTGCTGTGTTCAATCTGAAGTGACCTGGACTGCTGGTTTTCTTGGGAGTGGGAAGAGTGGGTGTCACTTATCATGTTGTGTCTTGGTTCCCCTAGACTGGGGACGTACTGTGACATTATCTACAAGTTTATCAGTACCGTAATTTATGTGAGTGTAGATCATTTCAGGAAAGTAAATTGTAAAAACAAGGGCAACACAGCATTGAGAGAGAATTCATGACTCACTGTGAGACACGCCTCAGAATCCAGTAATTCACTTGTGAATAATAACTTAACTATGAAAGATATCAAAGATAATTGCCTATCCTGTGGGTTTATAATGTAAATAATTACTTGAATAACAAAGTTATTACATGTCTCTTATAAACATTTTTTACAAAGTGGTTTATGTTCATGTGTTTACATGTTTTTGTGATTTAATCTTTCATTAACAACAATCAAATTTGAGAAAGTTTTTGTACTTACCTGTTGTAGGTGTGGGAATTCACCAAACTTGTAAATTTCTCCTTTGTGGGATAAATGAAGGTTGTAAGTTGTACAAACAAGTGAATCAAGTTTTACTGACGACCGAGATGGACAGTCTCAGGGAAGACTTTCTTGAAAAAGGTTTTGGAAGTCCGGCTTGTTGTCGATGCGAGTCTGCAGCAGTGAGGCTCTGTTAATCTGGCGGGAGCAGAACGGATGTAGGCCTGCATGTGGGACAGCTCTGCAGCTAGGATCACCCACCATCTGCACTGGCATGTTCTACCCACCCATCTTCTTATGCACATGTATAGCTTCAGAAAGTTTGGTGTTGCAGGCCAGCAGGTCTTTCCAGTCGACAAAGTTTATAGTCATCTCATCAACCTTTACCCGCCTGACTCGGGCATGGGCTTATGGAAATCCAGCACTATCTGCAAGTCTTCCACGTAGACAGACAGTCAATCCTTTGTCTTCTTTTATAAATAGTTGTTGTCCACTTTTGTCATTTTTTTCTGCATAGTTATGGTAATAAAATATCTTATAATGTGTGCGCATTAGCTTAGAGATGCAGGAAATCTGGAGTATGAACTAGAGTGCTGTATAACTTTAAAGCATGTAAGGGCAAGAAGAAAGACCAGCAAAAGTGAAAAAAATGTATTCAATTGTTGTAAACATCAGGGTTTTACTGTATGAAGTGTATTTTCAGCTCTAAAAAGAAGTCCAGACATAAAATATGCAGAAAAAACTTGTTTTGATTTGAAATGTTTTTTAATGTATTATTCAGTTACTATAAAGTAGACGTCATACTGATGTGTGAAACTATAGCAGCCTCAAAGTGTCAGATATTCATTTTTATTCACAAAGTTCCTTTAGTTGCTGCTATACTTTCCACTCACAGAGCACTTTGTTGGATTTGTAGTTTTTTCATGTGCTTCTTTTTTAACAGCCAAATTTGGAAGCAGAAACAAACGTTTTCATTGCATGGTGCATCAAAAGCTAAGCTGAAGCTAATACCTTTAATCAAAATGACAGAAACCATGTTTGAGAAGGATTTATTTAACGTTGAAAAGTTTGACCCATGTCCTGGCACAGACCAGCCACTTATTTTGAGTACATTTTAGATTTATGCTTCATGGAGGTTTTTAATTCAGACAGGAGTTTGGAGTAGAGCCGCTGCTCCTTTGCACCGAAACAAGCCATCTGAGGTGGTCGGGCATCTGATTAGGATGCCTCCTGGTCGCTTCCCTCAGGAGGTCTTCCAAGCACGACCAATTGGGAGGAGACCCAGAGTTCGCTGGAGGGATTATATCCCTTTTGGTTTGGGAACAGCCAGGAGGAGCTGAAAAACGTTGCTGGGTAGAGGGACGTCTGGGGCGTCTTGCTTAGCCTGCCGCCACCGCCACCCAACCCCGGATAAGCAGAAGATAATGGATGGACGGACGGATAGATTTATCACACAACAACTGAAATAAGATTCTGTTGACAGTTGCTTTGGTGATTGATTAATTCTGGACAAAGTCTTTAACTTCGACGCCTATTGTCAGTGTTCAGAACACCGGAGGTAAATGTTGTGTTATGAAATGCCTCTGGTCAAATCAGATTATTAGGTCATATTCCTACCAAAAGCTTTTTTTGCTTAATTGCTCATATTGGTCACTGATGAAAAATGGTACATTCATGCAGCAGAGCTTGTGTTGAACATCTCCCCAGAATGTATTTGACTTATCAACTGATTATTCTAGTTTGAAGTCATTGGGGAAAATCCTGAAAATCCTTACATCAATGACCTTTGACCTACTCACCTGTGCTTTAAGGAATTCCCTTAACTCTGTTGTCATCAATGAGTCATGAAGGAGACCATCAGATGTAATGTTGCTGCACCTTTAAAACAAATAAAACAATATTCACCAATCAGGTAAAATACAAAGACATTCAATTTTTAAACTTTAAGATGTAAAATTCCAGCTTCAGAAACTAAGGAATTGCAGCAGAGATGTCACTCATAATGTCACAAAAATTACTATCATGCCATCTTCAGAAATCAATAATTAAAGCTTGTATTCAAACTGGACAGACAATCTTTCCTGGTCTAAACGTTGATGTGTTAATATCATTTAACGCATGCTATGTTCACCTCAAATTAAAGCATTTTGCCTTACAAACATGGCTGTAACAGACTAATAATTATACTTAAATATGCAGCTTTACAAACATGAATGTGTGATAAACAAAAGACAGCCAATGTATTTGTTAAGCTGCAGTGTCTTTCTTTCAAAATGGCGAACATGCAGAGCTTAACAGACATATCAGTTAGCCTCAGATAGATAACTCTTCTTTAAAACTAGTGCAGTCCTCATTATTTCACTAAATAGTCATTTCACATGAAATATGTTTAGGCATTCAATACATTTACAAAGTGGATTAAATACTGACAGATAATTGTAACACTGCTGACATTGGACAACAGAATCTGTCATTCAAATCCTGAGCCAATTGGATGCAGTCTGCAGCCAACAGGCATCTACCCCTTTCCCCAGGTGCACTAATCACCTGATTGAAACCAATCAAGGAGTCAGTCAGAAGGCAGCAGGAGACAGTCATTCCTAAAACAGTCAAGGAGAGCTTCTGAAAGAAAAACACTGTGCACTGAGACTTCAAGCCCTTGAGGAGCTGCTGCCTGCTGCCTGCTGCTGCTGCTGCTGCTGCTGCTGCGAGGAGGAGGAGGAGGAGGAGGAGGAGGAGGAGGAGGAGGAGGATGTGTCAGGACTGAACACTGGTCAGGTCATACTGCCGGAGCAAAGAAGATGGCGAGCTAAAGGCGCAACTTCGAAAGACTCAAGATTCCCTCAAAAGGCAGGCCTCAGGCCTGGCTGTCTGGTTAATGGGTGTGGTAGGATGTGTGGTAGGATTTCCTCTACCTAAATAAACATGTGAATTCGTTGGACATCTGCACGCACATGACACACGTGTTTGGTGCATTGATTTATACGTATAGAATTGGGAATATTTAGCATATGTTGTATGGAGGGTAAAAGGTGCCCTTAAGAATCTGTTAATTGAAGGCCTATTTTCTTTTATTTAAATTGTGGGATTTTCCTTGATTAAGTTAAAGTGTTTTTAGTTATTTGTTAAAAGTTGAACTTTGAAATACACAACCGGTTATCAACATTCTGTGTCATGTGTTTAATGAATTCTCCACCAGCGTCAAGAGTCTAACCTACATTAGCCCAGTACACCTTAATTTGTTACATCTTGTTTTTTTGATAATTAATTATTTATAAATGCATATTTCAGTTAAAGTAAATTTTGTATCCTGAGTGTTACATAATGCTTCGACCACAGCTTCCATAAAAGTGGGTAAACGCTGTTTTCATTCAGTTTTCAATACGTCTTTTAAAAACTCTGTTGCTATGGTAACTGCAACCGGAGTGAAATCAAGACGTTAATGTGACAAAAACAGACACAGTGAACGTATTTGGTTATAAACATGCTGCTTTCCAAATAAAAAAAGGATATGGAATAATTTCCTCAAGATAAAAAATACTCAAGTGTTGTTTTTGTGTCTCAGCTCATCCTTCTTTTTCAAGCTGTAAGCTAGTAGCCTACACACTAGCTACAGTAAAAGTGTTGTTGTTTTTTACTATTATACATTAAGTAGCCAAACTTTTCATTGTTTTAAAAAAACAACAACAACGGGCCCCTGCAATCTCAAATTCACAATAATCCAGGATTTTGTTATTATAACAAAGATAAATATGATTTTACTCACCTGGTTTTAAATGGTTGCTTCTCTCTGCCGATGTCCGAGGACAAAATCTTCTGCACTCTAGGCTATAATCCATTTTAACTTTTGTTTGACTGTGTTGCTTGCTGTTTGATTTACTAAAATAAATTGACTTGAGTTCTGGAAACAGAGCAGTGTTGTTTGTGTTATGCTGCCATCTGATGATTATTAGGCCACACTTCCAGACTGCTTATGGACTATAAAGTAAATTAATCCAGGAAGAACTTAAACATCAACAAAGATGCTTCTGCAGACTATTGCCATGGATTAAATTTCTGTAGGCTACAGTCCATTTGAAAGATCTTGTATTTTTAAAGACTTTTCCTTGTAACAAAACATAATTTTTCATATTTTTCTAAAAGCTGTTTTGTCACAAGAAATGCTCTCTGTTGAGTTTCAGTTTTAATGATTTCAATTGTCATTACAGACTTCATCCACAGCAACTGAGAAGTAATTTAAGTTAAATATGTAATTTAATGCAGTTATTATTTTACAAGATAAAAATATCTGAAGTTTAGAATAAAGTCAGATTTAGAAAAGATGAATTTGCAAGACAACTGAAGTAAAAGAAAACCACACTTACAAATAAATCTCCTGCAAAATGTTTATTATGAAGTAAAAGTAGGCTACGTAAGTAAAATCAGAAAGGTCTCCGTTTTAAAGTGGAAGTAGAAGCATTCTGTGACTAGAATATAGTCTTTAGTTCTTAAATAAAGAGTCTCATTTTGGGTTGTGCATCAATCTTTATTATGACAAAAATATAAACTAATGTACAGAGCAGCATCGTAGCGTGTCATTAAATATGTAACATGTTCACAGAGGTTGTACGGACGGGTAGCAGTGAATCAGCTGAGCGCGTCTCAGTGAGTGTGAGCCGAAGAGGAGCAGATAAACGTGTGCTGGGTTTCAGGGGAGCAGCTCGTGGAGATCCAGCTTCGGGGCGTTTCGACCAGCACGCAGTCAGAGCCTACGTCGGACTCACTGCTGCCCGGCGGCGCCCCCCTCAGTCTGGAGAAGGACACAGAGCGACCGTCAGCCCACATCCAGCGACCGGGACCTCCAGACAGACCTGGGGAACGTGAAGAGGAGTCACACACATCTTCTGGACGTAACGGCTGACAAAGGCTAACACTAGGGTTGTAAATATCAACAAAAACAAAATGGTAACCAATTTCAACAATGTGAATACGTTCTTGAAGTAGAAGCAATTAGACTAGAATTGATTTCAGATCTCTTCAGGTGTTTAAAGCAACAATATATAGGAATCAGTTTGCTGCACTTTGGCGACGACAAAAGTTCTCTAAGTATAGCTGCACTGTTGTAAAACACAGTGCTGTTAACTCCTCCTCCTCGTAGACAACGTGCATTTGTTGACGATCAGGTTCTGTGTTGTGAGAAGCAAAAGAGCCATGTAGACTGACAAGATTCAGTAAAAATCTGACTCTGCGTCTCGTCTATAGCTCGCTGTAGAGACGACTTTTTTTGTGTCAGATGGATTTTTTGATTTATTCGTTTCAAACCTGAGACAGAACTCGGGTCAGACGACTTCCTGCAGCCGGTAAAGCTGCTAAACAGATGACCTCGACCCGCTGACAAAGTTACATAGTGCTGAAAACAGGCGAGTGGGGCGCTCTGTGGACATGAGAGAGTCGCCATTCTCCCCGTTGAACGTTGTCGTAATATTAAATCGACTTTGAAACAACTTTTTTAAGATGGAAAAGTTACATATTGCTGCTTTGACTGTGCACTTTGTTGATCACTCACCGATCCAAAATGGCTTCCTCCCTGCAAACTTCCACAGCCAGGTCATGTCTCTTCTGGAGCGCACGCTGGTCAGGCTGCTGTTAAATCTGAACACAAACATTAGAACAACAATCAAAACACACATCGAGAGGAGTCCTCACACTTATAGAAACAACAGAGGGGAAGTGAAATGGGATGCATGTGCAGGCAGAAAAACATAAGAGATGCAGGCCTCTGCCTTTTAGTCTTTTAAATTCACTTTTTAAATAGAGTCTATGATTTAAAGTCAGGCTGTCAGCATCAACTAGTTAATCACAATGATTAAGGTCTGAAATTAATGCATTACTTTAAAGGAAACATGTAAAGGTCAAAGTGAAAATAAAAGTGTGTTTGTGTTTACAGCAGTGAGCAGGTCCTCTCTGCACTGCCCCAGCTCGCCACAGACGTGCTGACCACGTAGCAGCGTCTCCTGTAGTGAGTCCAACCGTCGGGACACGAGCTGGTGACCGACTTCCCCGTCTGAGTAAACAAACACACAATCATCATTAACACACGAGCAGCCTGTATTAGTGGATGTGAAAAATTATTTAAGTGACCCAAAATAAACAGTTGTGGTCCAAGGATCGAGCCCTGAGGTACCCCACAATTAATATTGTATAATTCAGGTTTTATATTATACTTCTGTTTTCTAATTACCTTTCTACCCACTGATGTGCCACCCCTCTGATACCATATTAACTAAATATCACTGTAAAATCATCACCTTGTGTTTAGGGGGCGTGTCTCTCATAGACCGTAACACCGGGAAGGTTGCGGCTGTAACTGGGGGATAAATATTTGTTCTTTTAGAAAGGTGCGTTTAGTATCCTGTCAGTGGTGGTCTTGACTGTTCTTATTTTAAATCCATAGTCTGCCAAGTCTGAGACCGAGAAAAGACTGAGTAAAAATGCTTTCGATTTCGATTTTTGTTGTATCGAGTACTACAACACTGGAATGATCAATGGTGTCAAATGCTTTTTTAAAGTCAACAAAGGTGCTTACTTAAAACTTCTTATTCTCTATTGCACTGGATATTTGTTTGGTTAATTACATTAAGTGCCACTGATGTGTAGTGATTGATCCTAAATCCATACTGACTGCTGCTTAAACTAACCCTAGTATAAACCTGTCTATAAATGTTTCTAAACTGGTTTCAAATAATTTCTCTAATATTCTTGAAAACTGTGGAGGCAAGGATCCTGGTCTGTAGTTGGAAGAAACATGTTTGTCTCTGTTAAGCAGAATTACTTTGAAGTCCAGTGGATTCAAGCAGAAAACTGAAAATAAATTTGCATGTGTGTGTTTGTGTGTGTACCTTGCGCTGGCGTAGCTCTGGCTGGTTTCTGGGTTCTGGATGATCCATCTGAGGAGGGTCACCAACCGGGAGCTCCTGCAGGAGGCGACTGTGAGACCAGCGACTCCACCCAGCATCACCCGGCTTCAGCTCCTCCAGCCGGAGAGGAGTCATACTGTGGAACTGATGAAGGAGCAGAAACATATTAACCCTGTGTGTGTCTGTGTGTGTGTGCGTGTGTGTGTGTGTGTGTGTGTGGATAAACTGAATCTTACCGTCCACACCTTCTCCTCAGACCTCCTCTCTCCTGACAGATGGACCTGAACAGCAGCAAAGGGGTTAAAAATATAAAACAGCACATGTAAGTATACATAGATAATATAAAAGTCCCTAAGAACAAACAGGAGTAGAGGATCACACTCACCTTTAATCCTCCTTCTCTGACCCTGTGTCCGGTGTTCCCGGTCCCTGGCTGCTGCCTGCTTTGGGGGTGGATGTGGGTGTAACCGGGGGCCGCCTGGTCCTGGGGTTCTCCCTCTCCATAGTCCAGGTAGGGCCGGCGGTTTGGGACGTCTCCTCGAGGAGGGTGAGGCTGGTTCTCCCACAGCAGCTCTGCCTCGATGTCTGTGACAGGGTCCTCTTCCTCCCTCAGCCTGGGGGGATCAGGGAGGCGAGGAGGAGGGAGCCGCTTCTCCTCCTCCTCCACCCTCAGGTCGTCTGGATCGCACCGTCCTTGAATATACCAAAGAGAGAGAGTTCTTTCTTTTAACTACTCCAAACTAAAAGGTTGCTCCAGGCAATCTGTCCTTGAAAAAGCTGCCGGAGTGGGCGTGTCCTACAACTTTTTTCCATGCTTTGCGCAGATACGTCGGCAGACATTGTTCTCATATTATTACGACTCAAAATCTTTAAATCTCAGGGTTTTTTTACTTTCATGTGACTCTTATACTCTGTCTTTTTTACAGCTCGTCTATGATTAAATAAGTTCCTTCTAAAAGAAGATCAACAATCAACCAACAACCAACAAACTCAAACCTTAGCTCGTCCTGTTCTGAACATCGATATCTAAACACAAACATTTACATTTAACAAACTAAGGGGGAGATTTAAAAATAGATTTGGTCTTTGACAGTTTAGGAGTTGATTTTTATTTACCTCCTCTGGGGTCGATGATCTCAACCCTGGCGGAGGTCCTCTGTCCCAGGACGGCGTTTTTCGGATTTTTCAGGGTGACAGTGAAAGTCTCGTGATTTTCCTCCAGACCGTCGTCTATCAGGTAGATGTTCCAGGTTTTCACGCTGACTCCTGAACACAGAAGGTTTTACCGAATGATGCAGGCATGTTGATTTAAAGGTCACATCTTCCCCATGTTTCTCTAACTCTAACATGTGTCTCTGGTCCGTCTACAAACCCCCCAATGATGAGAAAAGTCCATCCTCTCCGTCTTCTCCCTGCTCCACTTTTCAGAAAATGTGTGCTCAAACAGGCCGTTTGGAGATTTTCCCTTCATGACATCACAAAGGGCAGTAGCCCCACCCCAGGTGGGTGACACTCCCACAGCTAGGTGTTTGTTCTGCCCTCTGAGTCTGCCTTCTCACCATAAACAATAGGACATGGACGGAGAAAGACCGAGTACACCCGAGCCCTTCCAGAGAGGGGGCGTGGTCAGACACAGCTCATTTACATATTTAAAGGTACAGACACAGAAACAGCCTGTAAAAGAAGCCAAACAGAGTCCTGACCTGGGTCAAACTGGATGAGAGCGGCTGTGCTGTGGGTGAAATCTCTGCCGGGTTTGGCCGATCCCTCCTCCACCTGTGTGAACAAACATGTTAAAGAAGAACCGAGCAATGATTTCGATTTATAATGACGTTAATCTTCCTTTAAACCAAGAGACAAGGTACCTGGATAGCTATGTACGCCGGGTCGACGCTCTTTCCGCTGCGTTGGATTTGGATCTGAAGCGTCCCCGCCGTCTCACAGGTTCGGTAGCAGGTCACCGACAACTCCACCCGAGACCAGGACAGGTCCAGTCTGCAGGAGACACACAGCTGAATCCTTCATATTGTCACAAGTATTTCTGAGTGACACAAGCTGAAGGTCGGCGCTGGTTACTTCCTGGTTCGATCACTGAGCTTCAATTCTGAAGAAGCCGAGTTGGTAAGATACTCGTTTGTATTTTTAACACATAGATTCATCGTATTAAACTGTTTTGTGTCTTTCTACAAACCCACATCTCGGGCAGCGCCATGTTTCCTGCCGGGTCAATGAGGCGGAACTCGAAGCTGTCGGCCGTCACCTCCATATCGACGGGGAGGACGAACACGACGGCACGCTGGTCCACGTCCCGCTGCGTGAAACGACCTTTAATGTAAGCTCCTGTGAGAACAGAAAGAGCCTTCATGAGGAACGTTACTATTCTCTCCCGATACTGGAGTGTTAATCTGTTGCTAGGTAACGGCTCGGCTCACCTGTGACAGCGTTCTCCAGGTATCCGAAGTGAGGCGGTCTGGTGATGGAGAACTCCAGCTCCTCCGCGGGGCTGTCGGGGTCCGAGGCCTGCAGGTGTTTGGAGGTGATGAAGACGCCGTATCGACCGCCGCCCAGGTCCACCACGGTGCTGGGGCTCCTCCTGGTGGTCAGACTGGGAGGCGTCCGGTCCACGCGTTGCACCTGAACGCACCACAAGACTTTTAGCAGCTGGTTACCCAACAGGAGGACAATATTTTTACTCGATTTTTTATCCTTTATTTTATTCTCAGTGAGACACTTTTTATTTCTAAGGGAGAATCGTCCATAAAAGTTTAAATTCAGACATCCTGGTACTCGATACTTTGATGAAATGTGACGGATTATTTTAAGATTTCATTATTTTTAATCTTTGAACCTCGTATGATTTTATAATTTTTTCAGTTTCATGCAACAATGAGGTAAAATAATATTTGTAACATCCAGAAATGTTGCATAAAACAACAAATGTTAACACACACATACAAAAAAAGAAGGAACTTCCTTATAGTAAGGCAGAGCTGCCCTGGGTGGGTGGTCACAGGTAATGTCTGTGTGCGCTGCTGCTGAGGTCATAAAGAAGCGTCAAGCTTTAGGGATCATGCTTCATGGACGCATTTGAGGCGACATTGCGCGCCAAATTGAGGCCAAATGTAGAGGTAGGAAGGAACTGCAGGATGCTGTGTGTTGATGTTGGACACTCAGTTGGGGGTGAAAGCGTCTCTGTGTTGCCGCGTGATTGGTTCATGTGTTTTGTTTATTGAGGTGATTTGTAAATATTGGTTTTGAAGTGGTCACTGTGATTATTAAATATTGTTTCTGTCTGTGTTGTGGTTTTAAAGTTGAGTCAGGCAGAACGGAGTGAAGTGAAAACTGATGCCAATGTTTTTAGATTGGTGTGTGTGTGTGTGTGTGTGTGTGTGTGTGTGTGTGTGTGTGTGTGTGTGTGTGTGTGTGTGTTGAACCTTGTCGCCATTAAAGACGTCATGAACTGATTTATGAATCATGAATAAAGTTGCTTTTTGACACATTTATCTTGTGCCGATGAGTTTCTTGCAGGGGGCTGCATTTCCCTTCATTATTAATTTGAGACTCTCAGAGGTGCAGTTCTGTGTGTTCACCACCAGATGTCGCTCTTGTCATGTGTTATAATCAGCAGACTCAGAGTGAGACTGACTGAGAAGCTTTAAAAACATCTTTAAGTATCTTTATGTTTAATAAAGGAAAGCTTCCTATAAAAATAAAAACACACATATATGTAGAAATGTTTGTGTGAATATGAGTCATGATGTTTTTAAAAAGACGTCTGCATCTTTCAGCACCTCGACGACTTCCACTAATGATTATTAATCTGCTCATTAACTCCATTGATCGGACATGAAAGTCGGACACCCAAAAAAAAGATTTAAAGAATACCCCTAGATGAATCAAACTTAAACTTTTATAGATCAATTAGATCAATTAAAAATAGATTTATCTGAGCAGAGACTGACTGGGACAAACATGACCCTGCCTCTTAGATCGGTTTCTTAGCGTGCGTGTGTGAGGGTTGGAGCAGTTTGGACCTCTGAGCGTTGACTGTACCGTCCCCCCACTCTCGCTCATCTCTCGCTCTAACCCTGTGAACCCACTTCACCGTGACACCGGGTGCTCCAGAACCAGGAGGAGCGTCCTCTCTATGAAGTCACAAATGTGACATTAAATCAAAATTAAATTCTCTCTCACACACACACACACACACACACACACACACACACACACACACACACACTCAAATCCCATAACTCCGGTCTCTCTTAGTCTCAGGACGGTCTGTCCGGCCAGCGTGTTAGCCACCTGGCTGTTTCAGTGTGTGTGTGTGTGTGTGTGTGTGTGTGTGTGTGTGTGTGTGTGTCCGTGTGTGTGTGTGTGTGTGTGTGTCCGTGTGTGTGTGTGTGTGTGTGTGTGTGTGTGTGTGTGTGTGTGTGTGTGTGTGTGTGAGAGAAAGCATGTAACATGCGATTGGAGGGAGGCTGGGGGATGTCTTGGCTCACCTGCTGCTCTCTGCTTCAAATATTTATCTGTGTACTTCCCTCGTCCACCTGAGAGTCGAGCCGACTACAACAACACCTCCAGCGCTCGCCAACACACGCCGGCGCTCGCCAACATCTTCTGTTGCTGCTCTCAACGGAAGCCTCTCAGGCCCAAATTATGTAAGTGCTCTTCCTAAAATAAAACCTACCTATACAATAAAATGGCCTCGGTCTGATCCAACACAACATTTCTACAAGAGAAGCTGAAAGCAGGCAGCGCCTTCTGCTGGTTGAAAAGGTATCGTTACATGTCTGCAGATAGAATTGAAGTTCCTCTTTTAAACAGCTTTAATTAAGTTATACACAGATGATTTGAGCTTTTACACTCAGATTGAAACAGCACATCTCCTTACACCGGCTCCCAGTTACTGCTTGCATCAAATTTAAAACTCTGCTGCTCACTTACAAAACAGAGACAAAAACGTCTCCTTACTTTAACTCTCTCATCCAGGTCTACACTCCCTCCCCCCTCTACGCTCTGCCAATGAAAGGCTTCTGATCCAACCTTCACAACAGGGTCCTAAGTCTCTGACTAGACTCTTCTCCTCTGTCGCCCCCCGGTGGTGGAATGAACTTCCAAACTCCATGTGATCTGCAGAGTCCCTCTGCACCTTTAAGAAAAAGCTAAAGACCCAGCTCTTTCATGAATACCTACTAACTTAATGATGATGATATTTAAGATGGTTTCGATGCTGATTAGAACTCTCTGCTGTCGATGTGTCTCTGCCTCTGGTCACTTCCTGTCAGCACTTGTGTCTCTGAGTCTGGTCACTTCCTGTCAGCACTTGTGTCTCTGAGTCTGGTCACTTCCTGTCAGCACTTGTGTCTCTGCCTCTGGTCACTTCCTGTCAGCACTTGTGTCTCTGCCTCTGGTCACTTCCTGTCAGCACTTGTGTCTCTGAGTCTGGTCAGTTCCTTCATACCGGCACACACGAACCGCACTCACTTGGCAAACGGACTTGTGATCGTGTTAACCAAACAGGTTTTAGGTGTGAAGGCGCCCTCAGTTTAAATACGTCCTCTGTGTTTTTCTCACCTGAACGTTAAAAACAGCCGGCTCCTCTTCAGCTGCCCAAACTCCAGGTATCCTCTGTTGCTCCCGTCCGTCGCCAGGAAGTAGAACCTGTCGATCTCTGCGGGGCTGCTCGGGTCGTGCTGTACGCCACCTTCAGCTCGTCCGTCCGTCTGGGTGAACCTGAGCGGCGACGACATCGGGACTCCTCCCAGCAGCAGTTTACCGTACTGCGGCGGCTGCGTGACGATGAAGCTCAGGTTGGCGGCGCGCGTTCCGGTCGGTGAGCTGCAGCTGCTCGGCCGTGATGGTCTGCGTGGAGCTGTCCTGGAGCTGCAGGCCCGTGTTATGGTGGAGGGTCGGCGGGATGCGGTCGCCGTGCTTGATGGTGAAGTGGGGGTGCCGCTGCGGGACGAGTCGCCGTTTGTGACGACGAAACTGAGAAGAGACAAATCGAACATTTGTGAGATAATGTGCTGCTTTGAATCACTCCAGCCTTCAGATACGGGGTCCAAATAACGGAGATTTTCATGAGAACAAAAGTTAAAGTAATTTAATGTTTTTTTTAGGAGCAGTATGTAACTCTGACCCCTAGTGTTTAAAATGGGTACTGCAGTCTAAATTCTAAACATATAGAGCGCTGTCTCCCCCCCTCTCTCTAGAGAGGATGCTCACTCAGGTCACCATGTGGTGGACTTGAAGCTTCAGTGTTTATCCAGCTCTGCATGGGTCTGTAAACCTTTCTGTGTTCTAACCTCTCTCCATTTTCAAAAGCATCTCCAATATTGATCCTAGTTTGAGCACGTTTCTGCTCGTGGAGCTTATTAGAAACATGCAGAGGCTTTTTAGGTCGGGTACAATCACTTCTATCTGAACCACTTCTCTTGACCGCTTCCATCACTGCAACACCTGTTGACCTGATAACTGCTCTCATATCTGACAAACCAAGGGGCGTCCAAAACGGCCGTGTGGGGGGGGGTCTTAAAAGCGCCTACCTTCTCTGGTCCAAACAAATCCAGAGCATTCAGGAGCAGAATCTAAAGTTAGAAGGAGGACATACTGGCTGCTGCATTGTTGTCAGAGAAGCCAGCACTTCAACATAGCATGTTTCCTTAATGATCAGAGAGTAAGATACCTTTATCAAAGTTACATAAATTAACAAAATCACAACATCCTCAGCATCGCCGTCCTACACTTCAATCTCCGGCCTCAGAGTCAGAATAATTAATGTCATGCTTTCTAATGAGCAACTCTGACAGCAGCTTCAGTCATCAATCACTCACTAAATTTAACCAACACACACACACCATAGAGACAAGTGACCAAAGCGGCGGACCTGAAAAAATTAGCCCTGTGTGTGTGTGTGTGTGTGTGCGTGCGCGCGTGCGCGCGTGCGCGTGTGCGTGTGTGCGTGTGTGTGTGTGTCTTGTACTCCTCTCAGTCCTCTGCCAACACAATCTGCCTCTCAGCCTGCAGCTGACAAACTGCCCCGGGCCTCAGCACACCGGCCACCACAAACACCCCCCCACACATACCACACACACACACACACACACACACACACACACACACACACACACACCACACACACGGAGGCAGGTCCTGGTGTAACATCTGGCTCCGATGTCGGCCATATTTGCCCAGGGAAGGCCGTCTGTGGCCGCCGCTCTGGCCAGCGCTGTTGTTATTCTCTTAATAATGCCCATTCATCATCTGGCTGTCACAGCAACACAACAGACACACAGATGAGTGATGCTCAGGTGTGTGTGTGTGTGTGAGTGTGTGTGTGTGTGTGCTTCAGATGTTAACACATCTGAGTCTGCATATTGGTCCTAAGATAACACACAAGTCACATTGTTACTTCAGCGTTCTAACAGAGATTTAAAATCCCCATGAAACGAGACTTCGAGAAGATTCCTCCTGAAACGGGAGAGAACCAATCACAGGATAGAAGCGGGACATCAAGGCTTATGTTGCAGACGGTTTCACTGCTGCAGGATGAACAAATCTAGAGTTCTCATCTTAAAACAGTAGAATCAGGAGACTAGAACAGACTGAAGGAACCCTTTAGTTCCTTCAGTCTGTCAGTCAGCGTGGCCTCTTTCAGTCCTCCGTCTCGGACTCTTGGCTGTGATCCGGTCTCTCCTTTTAGAGCCAGATAACCAGCCGGTCGGGGCAGCAGGGGTCTGGGTGACAAACCCGGGGTCTGCACACACTCCAGGTCACCCCCCCCCCTCCTCCCCCTTTTAAAAAACTCTGCTGCTGCAAATTGGCTGGAAAGGCAGATAAACATTCTGCAGCCTGGCCTCTCGTCTCCTGACACTCAGGTTTTTGTTTTTTTTCCTCGGTCTCCCGTCGGCCAAATGTTGTGTGTGTGATACTTTAAAGTGCAGAAACATCCTCGTCTCACGATGTAGAGGCAGATGATTCGCCCTTTATTCTCCTGATGTGTGCAGAATTTCATGCTGCGCTGC